CTGAAGGGTCCACCTGTGTACTGCCCGCACCGGAGATCAGTGTTGCCTGTTTTTTATTGTAACTTCATGGGAATTGAATCATACTGTATGTTCGTTTTAATGTCTGGCTAGTATTCCAGTGTGTGGATGTAGCACAATTTATTTATTCTTTTGCCTCTGCGGGGCACATTTGGCATTTCCTCCCTGGGGCGCTGTGAGCACACGTGCGTGGGCTCTCACTCCGTGTCTGCATTTCTGTGGGGTATTTCCCTCCGGGTAAAGAGCTGTATCGTAGGGTTTGTGTACGTTCAGTTCTAGTAGATGCTAGTAGGACATTTGGGTTGTTTCTTCGGTTTTTGGATTACAGATAAACCTGCTATAAACATTGGCATTCAGGTTTTTGCATGAACACATGTTTTCATTTCTCTTGGGTAAATACCTAGAGTGCAATTGCTGGGTCAGATGGTAAGTGTCTGTTTAACTTAGAAGAAAGGTGTAAATGTCATTGTTAATCTTTTCCTTCCAGAATATGTTTACCACTCGTAGTTGTTGATCCAAGTAGTAGAAGTTGGTACTCTTTCGGGGTGTGCAGAGAAATGGGGGGACATCACCTAGCTTTTCATTAAGACTCTCGGAGCCGCCAGGAAGGAAACGGAACCTGGTGTTCTTTCAGGGTCACGCACAGATCTTTGGTCCCTGGACAGAGTGTGTGGCCGCCATCCAGAGAAATGGTGCCTGTCAGTGCTGGGGCAGGGGAAGTGGGAGGTTTTGGAAACCACGGACACTCTGGTCAGTGTGAGGTACTGACGGCAGGGCAGTTTTACCTCATCAGTGTTTGTTTTTCTTTTACCCTCCAGTGTGGCATCGTCCTGGGGGCCCTGCTCTTGGCTTTCTGCTCTTGGATGACGCACCAATCCTGCATGTTCTTGGTGAAATCCGCCAGCCTGAGCAAACGGAGGACCTACGCCGGCCTGGGTGAGACGCCGGCTCTCGGACTGGCAGCAGGACCCCCTGAACACCTCCCTAAGAAGCACAGCGCTCTGGGCCGGGGGTGGAGGCCTTATTCCTCTATTGATTCACTTTTCTTCCACTGTATTTTTGCAGAGCTCCTTGAACAGCAGTTCTTTTTTATTTTATTTTAAAATTTAGTGCAACTCTTAAAAACTGTTACTATAGTCACATGCTTCAAAGTTGAGGTGATAAGCAGGGTCTGAGGCGAAGCCTCCCTCCCCCCTTGTTCTCCTTTAAGCAGATACACCCAGGAGTCTCCCTCCAGGTTCAGGCAGAACCAGCAGCCCCCCAGCCCTCTGCAGACTTGCTTGTTGTCTGTTCCTCCTCAGAGCTTCCCGACAGGGCCTTGCTCTGCCTGCCCCACTCCTAATGTCAGGAAGACACTGTCGCTGGCCAGGCTTGTAGCCAGGATCGCGGCACCTGTCTGCCCGGTGCTCTGTGTTCCCTGATGCTACTCGTTGCAGTTTTATTCCCTTCAGTTTTCTTTCTTCCTTTGATTCCGGCTGAGGGGGAGAAGGTTGCACTTTGTTTCCTTTCAGTTTGGAATATTGCTGGCAGCTCAGCTCTGGGGCCAGGCCCTCACTTTCCTGCTGCCCTGTGGAGGCCACATTCGTTCTGTGGAACCTGCGGCCCTGCGTTTTGTCCTTGGGAAATTTGGTGTGGGTGTTGAAATAGCAATACACGCGTCTCAGGAGCCGGCCGTGAGCACGTCTGGGGAAAATCCCTGGCTTCTGGATGAAAGCACTTGATTCCCCAGCCAGTGTGTGGCCTGGACACTGGGTCCTCCCGAGGAGGCCTTCCCTGGCCCTCAGCTCACAGCTGTCACAGCTAGGGGACATGGTGTGCAGAGTTCCAGGGGCCAAACAAAACAAAGGCATCTGCAAGACCCACGTGTGGGCTTTTGGCAGCACGGCCTCCAGTTCCTTCCAGTCTGCCCGCTTTGTACCGGCACCGAGATACTAGCGTTTGTTCTGACCTCAGGACTGAAGGGCGCCTCCTTCTGCCTCTGTGATGAGAATGGCGCTGTCAGACTTTTGTTGTTGTTGGAGTCACCCGAGGAAGTGAAATTTACTGGCTAAACTTGACCCATGGTGAGACCTCATTTAGCGTGGGACGCAGTGTGTGCCAGGGCGGCCCCTTCCTCCATCTGTACGGCTGGTCCTTTGGGGTGACCCTTTTTTCCCCACTGGGGGTCTCTGTACAGTGGAGTTCCTGTGGCCAGCGCCCCAGGAAATGCGTGGCTGTTCCTGAAAGAGGGCAGGTGGCCCTGGACTGGGGAGGCCCTGGGTTTCAACAGCTGCCCGTCTGGTATTCTTAGAAAGTCCCTGAGAAGGCAAACCGGCTTGGTTAGCTGTAGAAGAAGACTGAAAGAAAGCTGCCTGTGGACACCTTTTACGTGGCTGCCTGGGGCTCCCACCTCTCAGTGGTGGGGGTGACCGCAGCTTTTTGCTAGAAGCAAAAAGGTTTGAAACCACCAGTGGTCTTCCGTTGTATCTTTGGGGCCAAACAAGATGGCTTCCACAGAGTTCCCTGGGCCCAGTCTGAGCATCAGCGGCCTCTTGTCCTGGCTTGGTCTTGGCCTTCTCTCCCAGAAATGGAGGGAGCCAGTACTTGGAAAGCAGCCCCAGGCAGGAAGAGCCGAGCCTCTCCCTACCCCGGGGGTCAGCAGCTCTGGGCTGGCTCCTGCTGCTGCTACGGCGTGTCCCCTGCCCTCCCATTCTCTTGTGCAAGAGATGCCACCGAGAGCTTGTGCTGTGGCCAGAGAGGGTGCCCCAAGAGGAGAGCCCACTGTATCCAGGTGCCACAGGCCAGGATAGACAGCCTGGATCAGCAGATGCCCTTGTGTGTGGCCTCTGCTGGGTCCTCGGGAGTCAGGCAGCTGCGGGGGCAAGGAGATGACCGACGGCCTCCGTGCAGACCTGGGGACAGTGCCAGGATGGCGCAGAAGTGTCCGGAGCAGCAAGCAGGACTTGAACAAGTAGCCTGTCTACACTGCTTAGCCCCTGGCAGTGGTTACAGGGTGTGGTCAGTGCGCAGTCACAGCGTGTGCCGTCTGCTGCAGACTGGACTTTGCCCGGTGGGGAATCACAGCACCGGAGGATGTTTTTCTCGGTGGTGTTTGTGTTTGTGGTATTTTGTTTGGTGCTTCTGGGCTACTTCTGTGAATTCCGTTCTCGTCTTCACCTGCTGTCCCCTCGCCCTGCGTGCCCTACCTCCACGTAGACTTTTCTAACCCTGTTTTCAGAAGATGCACAGAAGTACCAGTGAGTCAGGTGCCTGCAGTGCCCCGTGCCCCAGAGCTTGTGCTGTTGACGGTATGGCGGCACCGCCAGACGCTCAGGTGTGAGCAGCAGTGCTCCTGGAACGGCGTCTGGCCTATCAGTCCTGTGCCTGCCTGCCAACACTCCTGGGCCAGAGTGGGGCCTGCAGAGGCCCGTTCACAGCAGCTCTCCCACCTGCCCTGGGATGTGTGACCTGCACACGTAGCTGCTTGGCTAGGGAAATGAAGGCCGTAAAAGCAAGCTTTCTCACACCCAGGGGCTTTACACCCTCCCACCCTGCATTTATCCAACACATGTTGATTGTCCCCTGTGCAGGTGGCGGTGGGAGTCAAATACTATCCAAGGCCTGGCTCTGGGAATGGCTGGTTGAGGCCACGCCCCAACTTGAACAGCAGGGTTTGGTGCGTGCACCCCATCTCTGCTGCTGCTGCTGGGTGTCGGCAAGCAGGAGGCTTTGGACGGTGGGTGTAGAGGTGGGGGTGAGGCTGGGGTCCTGCACCGAACGAAGCGGGCTCAGAGTCAGCTCTGCGTCGCAGCAGCCTCGGAGCTGCAGGCCAGGCTGTGGTCCAGGAGAAGCTGACCCAGTGTCTTGGGGCCCAGGACAGCTGCTTCCAGCTTCCCCTAGGAAAGACTGGAGAGCCCCTTCCGAGACACCAGCCCCAGCTCTCACTCAGCCAGAGCACTGTTCAGACCACAGGCCCCTCGGCCCCACATGGCCCGGCCAGTTAGCTGCAGAGTGCTCATCTTGGTGGGGAGGAAGACCTGACCCCGGAGCATTCGGTCCACTCCCAGGTGCGCTGGCTCAGAAGTCCTTTCCCACAGATGCCGCCCAGCCTCGGGGGGCTGGTCTGGTGCTGTGGTTCCACCCTAGAGGGGCCGGAGGGCAGGTCAGGGCCCCTCACCCTCCCAGAGCCACCCCAGGCAGGAGGCTAACGGGTAGGGGGTTGCTAGGCCTTTGTATGTGAGACTCAGGATTAGAGGCTGCTGAGGGACTCACACCTGAAGTGGTGTGTTGTTTGTGTGTGTCTGTGAGGGGCGCTGGCCCCAGTGAAGGAAAAGGGGAGAGCAGGGAGGCTGGAGCCCCAGGCTCCCCTCAGCATGGGCCACACCTTGGAGGCGGCCCCCTTAGGATGTCATTCTGGGAACCGGTTGCGCCTTTCCGGGTGAAGAAGCGCTACCCTCTGACTAGGTCCTCTGACTCTGTAGAGCCCCTCGGTTCCCCTGTCTGCGATGCTGGTGTGGCCCGGAACTCTCCCTGGCAGGTGCCCTGAGCGATTGGAGTATGCTTAGGTGCTGAGCTTTCTTTTGGAGAAGGAAACAGAATGAGATGGCTGGGAGCTTGCCGCGTCCACATTCAGGGCACTCAGTTTTTTGTCGTGTCGGGGGTGTGCTGTCTCATGGTTGTCACCAGAAGGCTTCCTTTTGGTGATAGCACTGCCTCGGGCTGCTGCCTGCTCTGGAGCTCTCAGTTTTTGAAGTTCTCACTGGACCTTGATCAGCATCCTGTGCACGGATGTGTGCCAGGGTCAGGGTGCTCCGTGATGGAAACAGGCTTTGTTAGGTGCCCCTGAGATGTGAGTCTCTGTCCAGAGGTCAGACAGCTTGGGAGGTGGGGGACCCGCAGCGGAAGCCCTCGCCTCAGCCTTTGCTGGTGAAGCCGAGCTGATGCCATGCTTTCTTGCCGTTGGCCACGCCGTGCCTCTTCCTAAGTGATTTGAAAGCAACAGATGCTTTTTGGACTCATTTGCACCACTGGCCTATGTGCATCCTGCTTTCCAAATCTCCCCAGAAGGCCCTGGCCTGGTTGAGGGAGGAACACGGGGCTGGAAGCTGGGGCCATCCTGTCACACACACCCAATTCTGGTTGCTCCTGGGAGACAGGACATCCCTCTGCCCTCATCCCGCTGGACTGTAGGGGGACGCAGGGGTACTGGGCCACTGTTAGGTCTTGAAGGGGCCTTGCCGAGTCAGCTCGAAGTAATTCTGTGGCCAGGAAGGAAGGACAGGCGGCGCCTCTCTGCTGTGCGGCGTGTGAGGCATGCTGGTCACCAGTGACGCTCCTTCACTGTCTACCTTGAAAGGGGGCAGGGCCGAGAGCGACGGTCCCCATCCCAAAATGCCATACTAGAAAGCATTGTCTAAATTTTCTCCTAAAATCAGAGTGAACATACATGTCCTTAGCCAGGCCCTGTGGTGCGGGCTGTGAAAACGGTGCACTGGGCTGGGGCTGAGGCTGACCGGCCTCCTGGGCACCTCACAGCCCTGTCCCCAGCCTGCCCAGGCCCAGGCACAGCAGCTTCACTCCAGGCGGGCCTCCCCCAGGCGGGCCTCCTCCCGGTTGCTGTGCTAGGAAATGGTTACTTTGCAGGGATGTTTTTTTCTTTTCTTTTCTCTTTTTTCCTGAGTGAAAAAAAACCAACCAGCTTGTCTTCCTTTGCTTTGCTCTTGTTTTATGGGGTTTCCATTTATCGATTGTGGATCTGGAAAAAAACCACGGGACCAAAATAAAAATATATTCCCCTTACTTATGCCTGTGAAACTCCAGACCAACAGCTCTTTGTTAAATTGCCCTTCACAGCTTTTCTCAGAAATGTTTTTACTGATGTGCTTCTCACGTTGTTGGATTGAGCATTCACTCTTTCCTTTTACACTAGCGTTTCACGCCTACGGAAAAGCTGGGAAGATGCTGGTGGAGACCAGGTAGGCGGTGCCCCCTTGCTCCACGATTCTCTGTGCTCCCTCACCTGTGGCTGAAGAGAAACTTGACGATTGTTACAAAATGAATGATACGTTTTCAGATGTGGATTGGTTTATAGCTTATAATGTCTTTTTGATGTGTTACTTACTAAATATTTGAAAGTTCAGTTTATTGTACCCTTAAAGTGTTTAGTGTCAAGGTTGAAGCCTTGTTTAAGTCTTACTAAGGAAAATGTAAAAATGGAAAACTCAGGAACACAGCAAAACCGCCCCTCCTCAGTCATGGTCACCCTTTCTGTGCTGTCCCGACACTTACATACCCCACCCCTGAACACTGCTGCATAAAGAGAGAATTAAATTGGAAATGTCATATTTTTCTCCCTTTGGAGTAAAATTTTATGAGATGAAAAATTGCTGGGAGAGGACCCTTTTAGGCTTTGAAATTCGGGACTAAACTCAGAGGAACAGTCTTTTCTGACAGCCGTCGGTTGTCCTGTGACTTGTCTGACTCATGGAGCACTTTCTGTAGCACCTAAGACAACTTGCAGAACCTCCAGTAGGAGAAGAATATAAAACCCCATAAAGGAGAGTTTGGTGTTACTCAGCATTCATTCCAAGTAAAAGAGAGGGCTCCACAGAGCACACCCAGGTTCTGTAAACTCGAACGTGTGGAATCCCATCCTCCATTCAGCTTGGCCTTTGAGTCGTCATGTGCCAGCAGTGGTCTGGCGGGGACCGGGCTTGGCGTTCCCTCCCAGGACCACGCGCGCAGTCCTCAGCTGAGGGCCCGGCTGCAACCGTGGTGAGCCCAACTCCTGTGACACGCCATGGAAACCGTGACTTCTTTCTTTGCAGCATGATCGGGCTGATGCTGGGGACTTGCATTGCCTTCTATGTTGTCATCGGCGACTTGGGGTCCACCTTCTTTGCTCGGCTGTTTGGGTTTCAGGTAAGGACCCTCTCAGGGTCTGGTGTCTTAGGATACTTGTGTGACACCCCTGAAAGTCACAGATCTGCGGGAGCAGGAGGGCCGACTGAGATCCACCCTGTGGCCCTGGGGGCTAGGACTGGGCCCTCGGGCTGGAAGCACAGGGGACTTCCGGGTGGCGCCTGCCCAACACCGCGCTCTGTCCCCAGGTGACCGGCACCTTCCGCATGCTCCTGCTCTTCGTGGTGTCCCTGTGCATCGTGCTCCCGCTGAGCCTGCAGCGCAACATGATGGCCTCCATCCAGTCCTTCAGTGCCATGGCCCTGCTCTTCTACACCATGTTCATGTTCGTGGTGAGTATCGGCCCTCGCTGGCCTGGGGCTGGCGAGAATGGAGCTGAGAGCCCGGGAGGTGATGTGAGAATGTGCCCACGAGCCCCGGTGGACGCAGACTCCATGCAGGGCTGGGCCTGAAGCTCGTTTCCTGGGAAGTGAAGGTGAGGGGAAGAGCTTCATGTGGGTGGGCCTGTGGCCAGGAGTCACAGGGTCCGCGTTTGGTCACGGGGGACGTGGTCTCCTTAGTGGGTGTTTCTGAGCCATTAGATGGTAGGTCCAGTGTGCAGCTGGTGCTCAGAATATTTAGTTCCTACTGAGTGCTTGGAGGCCGAGCAGCAGCCCCTGGGACCTGAGACCCCGTCTGCCTGTTCACGGGCAAGGTCAGAAATGATCATTCCTGGGGAATGGAACCTGGAGGTCTCTGCAGTCAATTTTCCTTAGAAGACCGAGCACGGGATGGGGTGTCCCCAGTGTCTTTGAGCCATGATTGCCAGCCTGTGACGGTGACCCACTGCTCTCCAGACAGCCCATCCTCGTGGGTTTGTCTCTAAAACATGTCCGTGCAGGGCCGGGGAAGGTCCTACCCAGTTTGGGGGGACCATACTGTCACCTGAGGCAGCTGGGGTGGACACAGTGGGTGGGCCTCACTGCTTACTGTCTGCTCTAAGCGGCCCTTGCACAGGTGGCTGTCCCCGAGGGCCAGGCAGGCTCTGCAACAAGTGCTCCTCGTGGCAGCACTGGGCCAGCTTGTGGCCCCGCGGAGCACACGACCTGGGAAGGTGCAGGGCCCGCAGCCCCCAGCTGGCAGCACGCAGGCGAGATGTGGGGCGGGACGCGCCGCACGCCGCTCCTGCCTCCCTCCCACCGCAGGGCTGGGCAGGGCCCGCCTGTGCCTGCCTGCTGGTCCCCGAGTGCCTCTTCCTCCCCCACACAGATTGTGCTGTCCTCGCTCAATCACGGCCTCTTCGGGGGACAGTGGCTGCAGCAGGTCAGCTACGTCCGCTGGAAGGGCATCTTCCGCTGCATCCCCATCTTTGGCATGTCCTTTGCCTGCCAGTCGTAAGTACCACTTGTTCCCGGGGTCCCTGAAGTGGTACTGTGTTGAGTTGGGGGGGGTGGGGGTCTGATGCTGGGCAAGGGGCTTTCACCCGTTCTCTTTCATTGGACAGTGCAGGCCACCGAAGAGTCATGGCTTGTTCAGTCATGACCTTCTCCCCCTCTGCGTTTGTGTATATTTTATGTAGAGAAATTGACTTTATTCCCGAGATGTGTTGCTGGCATTGCTGGTGAGAGCACCCAGTGTGCCAAGTCCCCAGCGAGAGGAGCTGGCTGTGGGGAGCTCGGAACAGCCCAAACCATCTGATCTGCAGTCCCGAGCATTTTGCCAGAAGTTAGCTGTCTGTGTGAGAATATTTAAGAGGAAGTTGCACAAACACCGGCTTCAGGCTGCTGCTGGGATGCTCTGGGGGCGTGTGTGTGCGTGTGTGAGCACGCGGGCCTTCTCCCTGGCATGCGGAGCTCTGTGAGTGCAGATCAGGCTGTTTCTGTCATCCCAGCGGCACTGCCTTCCTCACCAGTGACACGAGCCAGTGACTCGTGCCTGCCTGGGACGGTAATGCGCTCAAGAGGGGCATCAAGTCGTCGCAGGCGGGAAAGACCGCAGGTGTGCAGGGGCTGGCAGGACAGGCCCCCGTCGCCCTGTGCCCTGGTGGGTATGGTCACACCACTTGTAAACCAGTATGACCTGAAACGCATTCGTCCTGCTGTGCTCACACCCCTGCGAGGCCAGACTGCCTTCCCCTTACCTAGTCTCCCTGGGCAGCTTGGTTTCCAATAGAACGTGCCCCACTCTTGCTGTTCATTCTCTCGCTGGGATCTGGTAACCAGTTGTCCTTTTGTCTTGAGTTTGCTTTTTGAAAAAACGAATCCATGGTCAGCCTGTTTTGGTGGTGACCACGTAGTTGCATTTGGTTCTTAGGTCAGATCATAGGGTTCGGAAGGGTTGTGAGCGCGTGTCATTCTGCGGCTCACAGAGGGCGTCTGTCTATACATGTGCCGTGTCCCCCCGCCCCCGTGAGCAGCGGTGAGGGGTCCTCGGAGCTCAGCACTGCCCGTTTGCAGACCTCCCCGTCCGAGGGCAGAGACAGCACTTCCTTCCCACAGCATCTGCACGGAGCGCGTGTCGGGCGGGTGGGGGCACCTGCCTGCCCCTGCTGGGGGTAGCTGGCCCCCCTCTGCATGCCTGGCTGGTCTCCTGGTTGCAAGGACGGCCAGGCCCCCGCTTTGCCATCGCTCCGTGGCCTTTCTGGTCTCCCTTCATGGTCACTCAGTGCTGACCATGGTGGTGCAGAAACACCAGGCCTGTGGCCCTGAGGACTCACGGGTGTGCCGGGCACTGAGGGGCCTGGGTCTGTGCGATGGGGCAGGATAGCGTCCAGGGGCTGCACGGAGGGAGCTGCGTCTAACTCAGGGGCCTGCTTAGCGAGGTGGCGGCCTGCGAATGCTCTGTGGGGTGCTGAGGTGGGCCGCCGTGGGGGTCTCAGGCTCCCGCCATCAGGGGTCCCCGGGGCATGCGCAGAATTGGAGGGGGGCTGGCGCCTTGGTCTTTCCACAGTTGTCCATGCATAGCACCCGTCCCACTGTACCCACATCTCCTGGGCAGGGGCTGCTTCCCAAGTATGTGGGCTGGGGGAGGGGAGCCCCAGTCCTGGGCCTGACTCTGCTCCCAAGCTGGGGCTCCCTGGTGTGGACCCTGCTCCAGCCTGAGGGGGCCGGTCAGCGAGACGTCTGTGCCGTTACCCCACAGGTCCTCTACCATCTCCCTGGGCTGCACGGGCCTGTGGCCTCCTGGCAACCCCTGCCCACGGGGTGGCCTGATGGGACAGCGTGACGAGTGGGGTAATGGGCGTCAGCTTCTGCCAGCCAGGTCTCCTCACCAGTCGGTTGCTTGCTTTGTGGTAAAGTTAGTGGGTCCTCTTAGTTTCTATTTCCCTTTTTAAAGGCAGTTTTAGAGTTTGGCTTCTCTGACCACTGTGCTTGTCCATTTATTGCCAATGATTTCCTGTCCTGACACACCACCTCCCAGTGCCTCGGAGCCTGTGCCGGGCTCTGCAGTGTGACTGTGACTGCTGGCCATGGCTGCCTTGGGGACGTGTCTGTGAGCCCGCTGGGACCACCTCTCCGTCTTTCAACCCCAGTGTAAAGTGTCACCCCTTGCCTTCTTGTCTGGACACCCCCAGTGCAGCTCCTTCCTCCTGGGGCTGCACCCAGACCTCCTCTTCATCTTCTTCACCCCTTTCTGTCTCTTGCAAGAGAGCCCACATGGACACATCCGTCCTGTCCCACAGCTCTGCACGGCTGGCCTGGGCCGGGGGACAGAAGGCGCTCTTCTGTCGTCATCTGTCTCTTCCCTGCGGCTCTGAGCGCCTGCACTGAGGCGCAGAGCTGGGCGGGCGTCCAGGCCGGCCCGTGTTTGTTTACATTTCCAGGCTCTTGACAGCGGTGCCCTGAACCGCTTCCTGCTCCCCCTGCAAGCACAGCAGCCCTGCCCCAGCCCTGCCCCAGCCCAGCCCAGCCCTCCTGGAGCGGCCACGCTCCTGCTTCTGTGGGACAAACGGTCTTTCGCTCCGGAGCATGTGTCAAGTGTTTATAGGGAGCACGTTGGGGAAGGCTCTGAGCGTGAACCCTTCACCCGTGATGGGAAATCTTGGCCTCGGCTCTGAGTTACATGGTGGGAAGGGAGGTGCCGGACTCTGGCTGGGGACCTAGGAGCTGGCGGCCGGGAGGGCATGTCTTTCCTGGATCGGCTTTGTGCAGGTGCTTGCATTCACAGCCAGGTTCTGCCCACCTACGACAGCCTGGACGAGCCGTCCGTGAAAACCATGAGCTCCATATTCGCCTCCTCCCTCAACGTGGTCACCACCTTCTATGTCATGGTAGGATACTTGGCGCCCTCCCCTCCGCTCTGGTGTTACCCATGGCAGTGCCCAGCATGACGCCTGCAGCTCCTTGCAGTCCCTGGCACGGACTGGCTCTGACTCCACTGCAGGCCTGCCCTCTGCTCCTGTCCCGCCCCAGAGCTCGGTAGCCATGGGCAGACCCGCTCCGCAGCTCCAGTCCAGGGCTGCCCTGTGAGCTGCTTCTGCCTTAGGTGGTCTCCATGTCTCCTGTCCCAGGAGGAGCTCCCAGATGGCGCTGCTCGGGGCCTCTGTCAGCTAATCTGCTACAGAAAGGGCTGTGTCCGTGCACGTGCACGAGACGTAAGAACAGTAGGGAGGGGCTTGACCTGAAGCCTCAGCCCATAACTGAGTGACAGCTCACGGGGGCTGCTGTCTTCCCCTGTCTCCATGATACCCTTGTTTGCTGTTTCATTACACTGCACATAAAATTATAAACGTGAACGTTGTGGCTTGTTTATCCTGAACTTCGCGGTTTCAGCTCTTGTCATGTTTACAACTGGTTCGAGCAGATCACCGCCGACAGGGCATCCCCATCCACGGGACCACGGTTCACCCCACGGTGCCCTGGTTTGGATTTCAAACCCCATTAAGACCAGGCCCTCTGCGTGTAGGGTTTGCGGGGCACTGTGGCTCCCTCCTCTTCTCATAGGAGCTCCATTTTCTTGGTTCCCTGTCATTCTCATGAAAAGCCGTGTAGGCCCCTCCCCTTTAGGTGTTTGCCCTTCTCATCAAGGGGGACGTTTGCGAGCTGGGAGTCTGCTTTGCAGGGCTGCAGGCCCACCACACGCTGTCCGCTCTATCCCCTGCAGGTGGGGTTCTTTGGCTACGTGAGCTTCACTGACAAAATCGCCGGCAACGTGCTGACGCACTTCCCATCCAACCTGGTGACCCAGATGATCCAAGCAGGCTTCATGATGTCGGTGGCCGTGGGTTTCCCCATGATGATCCTGCCTTGCAGGCAGGCCCTGAACACGCTGTTGTTCGAGCAGCAGGTGAGCTCCCTGGGCTGCGGACGTGTCCCTGGGGACAAGATCATCCCCCATCTGAGCGATGTTCCTTCCTGGGCAGTATAGGTGAGCTTTCCTAGCTAAACACAAAGAAGCGTCAATTAAAATGAAGTCTTTTAGTAGGGGTTTTTTTTAAAACCAGCTTTGGAGAAAAGAGACCGTGCCAGAAGAGATAGGCACTGATTCACACGGGGGACGTGGGGTCAGGCCCTGTGGTCCCTGCCCCGTGGCTTCCTAGCCACGCTGCTGCTTCCCCAGAGATGCCGCGGGAAGTCCAAGGGCGTGAGGAGTGGGTGGGAACGTGGAGGTGCTGGCTTCATTGGCAGTAAGCAGATGGGCCCCTGGGTCAGGGCGCTGTCATCCTTGTTTGTGTAACTGGAAATTTTAACAATTTGGCAAAAGACGTCTGAGACATAAGAGGCTGTTTCACGCACTGTCGTGTGTTCAGACACGGTGCGACCTTGTCCTTTATAAGAAGTTGTCAAACATCCGGGCTCTCTGACTTGCCGAGTTGACAACAAAAGGAGCACGTGTCATAGCTCGTGCCCAGGGGCGTCTCAGGACCCCACGGACCTGAGCCTTTTCTCTGTGGCCGTGTCTTGTGTCCCCGGCCTGAGGGTCCTTGAGCCTGGTCTGTGGCATGAGCTGGACTTCTGGTGGCCGTCCAAATTCCACTTGAAGTGGTTGGGCCTCGGTGGGGGTGGGAGGAGGGCCAGTTTGTGGTGCCAGAGAGTCCAGGGGAGAGTCCCAACAGCCAGACGGGATGTGGGCCACCAAGCCTGGAGCAGCTGGACAGGCTCACTGTCTGCATGTGTAGCACATCGTCAGGGCAGCTGCCCACGGGCTCTGCCACCAGAGACGGCACCTCATGGCAGAGCCAGGCCCTGTGGCTGGCTGTCCTCTCTGGCTTGCCCCCTCACCCCCACTAGCTGTTCAGGCACCTGGACGCCAAGCCAGGCGTGATTTTGTGCTTGGTCCCTTGGGGGGTGATGGCGGGCATCTTGTGACTGGGGTGGGGAGGGTCCTCCTGATGTCTGGCCCAGCAGCCACCTGTGGGGTGCTAGCTTCCATCTTTCACTGTTTGATGCAGACATGTGCTTCATATCTGAACAGTGTCTGTGTCTCTGTACATAGCACGTTTTTATAATTTTCCAATTGAAAGATCAACAGCGACATTAGGGGCAATGTTAAATCAGGAAATAAGCTCACGTGCGTTACGTCACGTCACTTCATCCTCGTGGGGTCCACTTGGCGTCCTCATAGGCCCTGCAGCTCTCCTTCTGTGGTCTTTTCCAGTTGATGGCTGGAGGGCATCTTTGTCTCCATAGAAACCCACAGCACCGCTTCACCCTTGCGCCTTCACCCCTGGTCGGATATTCCGGCTGTTGCTGACCTCTTACCCTTGACCTCTTGGGTACCTCTCTCATGACCTCCTCATGTACACGGCTTCCCCCCCTTTCTCTCTTTTTGGAGCCTTTCCTGTGTGAACTGGCATAGGATTTCCTGGGTCAGAGAGGGACAGACCTGACTGCCTTTGCATTGGGTTGTGCACTCACCATCCTGAGGTGGATCAGAGGTTCTGGCTCCGGTACCCTCTGTCTGCCTAAGAAAGCCACCTGTGTAAGCGTCTGTTCTAGAAATTGGGTGCTTGAAATTCTAGTTCTGGAAGGTCCTGAAGCCTCACTTGAGTGGTGTTTTCACGGTCAGCCCTCCCGTGTGCCCAGCATTGTTCTAGAAGTGTCACTGCTATCAGCTCATTTGGTCCTCACCACAGCCTGACCCCCATGTTTACAGATGAGGAAACTGAGGCACGGAGGTTCAGTGACTTTGGGTTTGGTTATGTCACGTCGTGTCCTGTAATTCCTGCCTGCACATCAGGCAGCTGCTGGAGAGAGGGTGGCAGAGCCGGGCGCATGCGTGTGAGAGTGTGGGTCCTGCAGCACCGAGCCTGCGGGGTGTCACACGGAGCCGGCACTCTAGAAACCTCTCTCATGGCGTTGCGCCGAAAGGAAAGCACGAGGACTTGCCAGCAACATTTCAAACCGAAGCTGTAAAATTTGCGTCTGTGCCTGATGAGGAGCAGCCTGTGCCTTCCTGGCACCTTGAGGGTTCAGGTTTCAGGTTCACATTGAGGTCGCTGAGTCTCAAGCATCTGATGGGGCCTCCCGGGCAGATCTGCCTGGGGTGCTGGCAGGCCCTGCACAGGCCGGCTTGCAGGAGTGAGGTGGGGGAACCCAGTGGTTTCAGGACCTTTCTGTTTGTATCTTTCCCAAAGCAAAAAGACGGGACCTTTGCGGCTGGAGGCTACATGCCGCCCCTGCGGTTCAAAGCACTCACCCTCTCGGTCGTGTTTGGAACCATGGTCGGTGGAATCATGATCCCGAATGGTAAGTGGGAGGGGCCTCCCCATGGCCGCTTACCGCCGGCACGGCCCGTCCCCACCCCCAATTCTGCTGTGACGTGTTGGGGCTCGGGGCAGAGCCCGTGACGCGAGGACGTGGCCTGGTTTGTGGAACTGGCGGTTTGTAAAGCAGCTCCTCCTTTCCGTCACCCCCTGATTTTGTTGACACGTCACCAAGGGGAAAGGTGATGGCTCTGAGCAAGGTTTCTGTTGTCAGGTGTCCTGCTCTCAGCAGACAGTCTATTGTTACCAGCACGTGTGCTCCCCAGGTCACAACCCAGAGGCCCCCACATGCCAGGCTCCTGGCTCCCACACATATCCTGGGACATTCCTGCAGGGTCACTCACCTCCCAAGTGGGGGTGGTGTGGAGCTGACCCCTGGTTTGGGGTGATTGAAGATGGGCTGTCGATAAGCCCCACTGGTGCCCAGACTCCCTCGGGGGAGTCAGAGCGGCGTCGCTGGGGCTCGTGTGGTGCTGGGCTCCACAGGCAGACATTTCTTTGTCCCACTGGGGCCCCCACGACAGGGAGTCGTGCTAAGCAAGGAAACAGGCACTGCAGCTGGAAGGAGCGGCCCCGGGCCTGCACTGTCCTAGTCTGTGGGGTCAGATGGAGCAGTCCTAAGAGTCCCGCAGGCACAGAGGTGTGCCTCCATAGCGGGCCAGCGTTCCGAGCTGCGCCAGGGCACCCTGCGGCGGGCTGGCTCGGCCGCCGTGCTTGCCGGAAGCTGAGGTCTATCTGCGTCCCGTGTGCCCCTTGGCTCTTACCTGCTCTGTGTCTTCTTGCTCCCAGTGGAGACGATCCTGGGCCTCACGGGCGCCACCACGGGAAGCCTCATCTGCTTCATCTGCCCAGCTCTGATCTACAAGAAAGTCCACAAGAACACGTTCCCCTCCCAGGTGAGCGCTGCTCAGGCCTCCTCGGCACCAGTAGTGGTCTGGGGTCCGGCCAGCAGGAGGTGTGTTGTCTGATGGCTTCTGGGAACTGTTGGGTTGTCGGAAAAGTCATGGCGTATTTTTTCTATGTTTTTCGTTGCAAAAATGTGTCATGACTTTTCCGACGACCCAGTAGTTATGTTGCTCAGCCTGAAAGGAATTTGGCCCTGTGGGTCCGGGCACCTCGGCACTGAGTCCGCGGAAAGCCAAAGTGAGCGGCCTCTGCACCGCCTGGCCACCCACCGTGTGCTAGCATGTGTGCATGTGTGTGCGCGTGTGCGTGGGGAGGTTGCTGGTAGCCTGGCGTGGGCTGTTGCTCTAACTTATTTGAACATCAGACACTGAACAGCTGTTCCCCAAATGTGTGCCTCTGTGGGGACTGGCTCGTTCGTGTGCTGCACACCTCATGCTCCCTCCCCCGTCTCCATGTCCCTCCTGGGCCCCCCTCCCACCGCATCTCACCAGGCACTGCCTTCGATGGAGCCCCCTCTGTGGTTTTTCACTGAAGCAAACCACACCAGGTGTCTGTATAAGTAAACATGTCGAGTACATGAGGCTGTGTTTGTAGGAAGCTTTCAGGAACGGAGCTCTGTCAGAGGGTGTGAGCGTGCGACCCGGTGGCTTTTGCCCCCGTGCCACAGAGCTCAGCCACTGGTGCCCGCAGCCAGCAGGCCCTCTCTCCCCTTCATCAGCCTGGAGTGAATTTGAGCGTCTTGTCGTGTTCCGCAGCCACAGCATTTCTTTCTCTGAGCTGCCCTGCCTTTTGCTCCTCTTGGTGGAGTTGTTGAGCTTTTTCCTTTTTTTTTTTAGCTGAGCCATCCTGCCACCTGTTGGTAGCTCAGCGGCAGCTCAGCTTGGACCGGGAATCAAACCGGCGACCCTTTTGCTCAGAGCTCGCATTCTTGAGCAAGCTCTTAACCAGCTGAGCCACTCGGCCGGCCCTGAGCTTTCTTACTGATGTGTTTCAGGAATTCCTTTAGAAGCGTAGTATACATACTGCAAAACACGTGATGCTCATGCATAGCCTGTAAGCGTTCACTAAGGGGACCCAGCCACAGAACCACCATCCAGGGTGGATATATTGGGTTGTTGGAAAAGTCATGGTGCTTTTTTGCAACGAAAAAAATAGAAAAAATACGTTACGACTTTTCCGACAACCCAATAGAACATTTAAGCACCCAGTGCTTCCTGGGGTGCCTCACCGTCTTCGTCCAAGAGGTCACTGCTCATCTGTCCTCATGCGTTTTGGAATAGTTTTGTTTTGCCTGTCCTTCGAGTTGGTGGAAATGGAGCCTACCATCCGTATTTGCGTGTCCGGCCCCCTGACGCAGCATCCCGTCTGCGCTCACCCACGTTACTGTGGGGGTGGGGAGCGTGTAGTCTGCCCTGCTCACTGCTTTCTGCCATCACTGACCACAGTTCCCTGGATCCTATAGGGTCCTGAGTGGGGCGCTCCACTTTTCTGATGCACATGTGTGTAATTTGTTGGTTATTCACTCAGGCGGGGGGTCATGGAGTCCTAGGGTTAAGTCCATCCAGCTTTACTGGATTTTGCCAGACTTTTTCCAGTTTTCCACGTTAGAATTCCACTGGCTTTTACACCTACTGTCCCTTCTATACAAATCCTTTCCCTTCTGATGGGTGTGTGGTGAGTAGTCCCTCATTTGGGTTTTAATTTGCAACCCATGTGCCAGAGGAGGCTGGGGGCCTTTCACATGCTTATTCTCCAAGGGGGTGTTGTCTTACCCATTTTTTTTTTTT